TCTGCTATGCACACAGAATAATTTCAAGTCGCGAAACGAATGTTTTACCCCAAATCGATGCTGTGGCCCGAGGGAGTCTCTTGTGTTGGATTCTAGCGGGTGGAAAGCCTGGGGCGGAAATTTGGCAACAAAACTATGCTGTGAACATAGTAAGTGGTTCATATGTTTTTATTACAACATATTGAATATTCCTGAGAGCAGTTTCTCAAACATACAGCCAACTGGTGGACATCAAAGCACTGAAATCTCGTCCTCCGTGGAGGTAAAAATGCAACACACTCCGACGGAATTTGTATTTGATCTATTCAACAAAATCATACGTGAACGATTCAATGTACGCACTTAACCAGTTTTGGTCCGGCTGTTTACAACCAAGGGCTGGGGAGGATACTTAACATCGCGGATGAAGTGATCATACTGAATAAAGCTCTACAGGTGACCGGTCACACAGAATCGTTCAGCACTGACTGTACGAAATCAGGGCGAGCGATGTACATATCGTATGCAAAATTACTCTACGACTACTTTTCAGGGATGATGGCCTACCCACTTTTTTAGATGATTACCGATATGTTTTCGTCGAATCACCATACAACACATTGGGACCTGTCTTCGTCTACACTCGCGATATAACACCGGGTCCCTCAGTGAACCAAATAACCACAGTTCCAGGGTGTCAAATCCTATCAGTTTTACCAATTTGTCCTCGGGTTCTCTACCAGGTGATAAATTGTACAGGGCATAACCGAGGACATTCGTGTCTGGTCAAGTAAAAGGTGAACGAAACACATTCATACGGTCAAGTTCAATGGCCACTTTAATGCCCGTTCACCAGAGTCCTCGATCGCTCGTCACGTGTTACAGACTAGACATCAGATGAACGTGATAGCAGTAGTTGCAAATGTTCAGAATAGGTAATACTGTCGGTTAATCTCAGATAAGACAAAACGTTAACTGTAACCCTTGTTTTCTCTGAGTAGAACGATCGCTAATTTCCACATCAGCTTGCAAACAGATGAATTTCCAAAGAGGAATTCACATCGTTGGTCTACGCATGGCCTCACGCGGGTAGATCCTTGATATTTGGTTGAAGAAAACCCGGGAGGAGGAGAAGCAATCTGGTTCAGTATTTTACATTTGGAAACGATGATTTTGGTGAGAATTTCTTTTCATTCTCCGAGGGATTATTGTTTCAATGCTATACATGATTGTTTCATCAATGATTGATGCAGGTTAGTGAAATATTTTGCAGAAAAAAGTGAACGAGCTGTTTAAGTATCATTGGAACACTTGTTCTCTATCTGAATTACCGAATTCGACGGAAACACGTGTGATTCATGTAAATCCTGTGGTACGATAAGAACCAAAACGGTGGAATAGAATTGGCCCACGATGGTTGACTGTGTTTGTCGGCTGGAGAGGCGGAGGCATCACGTGCCTAAGCATGTTTTGCATAGTTCAAGGTAATACAGTTTATTTTTAATACTAACCCCGTGAACAACTACGATATATATATATGTGTGTGTGGGTGGGTGGGTGTATAGGGACCACGTTTCCCCTGCATTCATTCTTAAGCTCACTAGACAGTGATGCATACAAGAAGAAACTCGATTTGGTTGCTCGGATTTTGGAAGGTAAACATGTTTGTGTATTATTTCAACTTACAAGAAGCTTATAATGATCTCGGCCAACAGCATGTTTCTTCTTATGTCTGATGCGGACATGAAAAACACGTGGTGTGCCGGGGAGGGGGATTATTGAAATGGATACTTGTTTCTTTCTCACGTCTGGTTTCTCTGTCCAAATGGGGGTTTTGCATCCAAGATTACTGACTAACTCTGACGTTCTTCTCAGAACTGAAACTGTGATGTTGGTAAATATGAAACACAACGGATGAAGCACGTTTTTGGTTGTGCTCTGACAGATTTCATTCGTCATTCTTACTTATGATGGATTTCTTGCTACAGCTTCATCAAATCAGTTCTGATGACACGCCTACTGATCAAAGATTATAGTGCCGGGAAGCAAGGAGAGATTGAAACAAGCAATAGCCGTTTACGTTTGTCGTGATCATTTGATTGCCCAATCTGTAGACTGATAAAACATCCACCTATGCGAACTGTTTTTTCCATGTTTGAAGCCTTCTTGGTTTTGTGAATCACACTTTCCTGCTCCCGGTTTTTTTTCAGGGAATAACACTTTTGATAGAAGGGTTATGAAAGGCAAACTCAATCCGAGTTCTCAACTCTAACCCACAATTAGATTTCTTTCAACATGTCCAAAGTGATCAAGTTCGAACGAACAGCCTATCACTCTACCCGAGTCAAATTCCAGGGGCTAAGATTGATTCACATTGCAGCTCAGTCCTGATTACAAAGAAACAGTTTTGACTATATCCAATCAAAGTTATTGATATGAACTGGTTTTCGTTGTATTTGGATTAAATACCTCTTTGTTTTGGTGCTCCCTTGTGTTTCTCTTTCTTACCAGTCAACCTAACCTAGGACATTCGTTTGTGCACGTTTAAACAACCTGTGAGGAAAACGCTTGACTTGCATGAACGCTACCGATGGACTATAAGGGATTGTTTTTACTACGCATTATTTTGTGTGATGAACCGCAGACGGGGTGGACCCTATATTCGTGTAGACCTACTATTTGAGGATGGAAACCGGTAATCGAGGTTCCGGAACTTGAAGTAGCAAACCACATAAGACCCTGTCAGCTCGGGAGTGACATTGATCTGGATGACAGCAAAGTTGCCTACTACCAAAGTTGGGTGATGCTATTGGCAGGGTTGGACCGTCGGACCTTAGAATCAAAAGCACACTTGTTACAGCAAATCAACCACTGCGGTACCACCACCCTTTTTCCGGTTAGTATGCTGTCTGACTATCATCGAGAACAATGTAAAATCAAAAATTGATTCCGTCACTTCGTTTAGCCTTGATGTGAGCACAATGTGGATGCTTTTGTGCAGTTCAGCGCCTGATCAGGAGACCACTAAATAAGCTCTTACGTGAGGACAGCACGCACCACCGGTTTCGCCTCAGTCCGTGATGAACTAGATGACCCGGGGTATTTTAGCGTACGGATAAAATTCTGTTTCATTGTTTCTATGGGTTTTGTTAGCTGAAAACACAAAACGGGATATCAAAAGACCATGAATATTTCACTTGTTCAGCTTCATTTGACTTACATCACTTGTGTTTCTCCATCCGACCAACCAACATCGTCCAACAAGGGCCCGTTGACTCGTAGTTGGGTTATTATTACACTGGATTCCGCACCGGATATCGGATCATCCACCCCTGTGAGCAACTCCTTGAATCCACTGTCATTACCCACGAAAGACACTTGAGCTGGTACACTGGGTAATTTCAAGGTGTTGTGCGACATTTTCTCACGCGTTGCATTCATCTCACACCGACGCCTCTCTGCCTCATCGTCTTCCTCTTCCTCCTCCTCGTCTTCTTCTTCGTCTTCCAGTTCCGGGTCCGCCATTGTGAAAAGCGCAGCCAGTCGCACACCGGCGGATTGCGTTTTACGTTGAAGACGTTGAGCCACCCGATAGATCCCGACATACAGACTGCACATCACAACCAATGTTGTCCAAAAGTAACCAAGGATGAGAGTGGTATTGAACACGGGATAATAGGTGAACGAAACATCACATTTGCCCTCGGGTCGGGGCGGTTCTGAGGTCATCTGTTTCCATCCTAATATGACTGGGGTAAAAAGACCGGCTGGAAAGAGCCAACTGACGCAAATCATCCAGCGAACCTGTGGAGAGAGAAATTCAACTAGTGAAACTACTATGTTTCTTCCCGGCAATGTCGTCGCTGAGCACGGTTTTGGGTAGTATAAGATGATAAAATGGAAAACAATTAAAAACATAGATCTCAGTACAGTGAGCCTTTGAGATGATCCTCATAAATGTATGAGATTATTAAGTACTCACGATTTTATCTGGATCATACTATCCTCCCGGGACGACGTGAATGGCAGTATTGTGCACTGGCAGATTTCAGAAAACTGAACCAGAAAATAAACTATTTTAGACATGGAATAGGGATCGCATGAGAGTATTCAAACCATGTTGGCTGTATTTGAGATGCGAATTATATTCGGTTGAGGCAGCTAAATGGATCACTTCCATTTACGGTTGATTGGATATCATAGGGATTGAGACAATGGTTTCTTTATTGATTATCTGAACTAGGATTCACAGAACCTTACACGTGTGCTTCCATGTGTGGAACCAGAGTTTTGTACTACACTGGGAACACTTGCAACGTGTATCGAAATTGAGATAGAAGAACGAAAGACCTTGTCTTTGAAAAACAAAAAATAGGCAGCTTAAAAAGACCAATATAGTTAATTTCCGAAGTTTTATGCCACTAATGTTTAGAAGGGAACCGGATTTATTGCCTAGTATATAGGGCAAGAATGATCTGCAGTAAGGACACGCTACAAGAACAACTCCATACTATGAAATCGATTTTTGCACGTAACGGGTAGCCGGAGCATTCAGTGCACGCAGAAATCTTTATAAAACACAGAGGCCGTTCAAAGGGGACAAATCGGATGATATCACACAAAGATTATCCGACGAAATTGATAAGATTTTCTATGCATCCAAGCTTCGTGTGTTGTTCGCGTTCAAGCCAATTGTGTGTTTGCGACTGACGGACAAAGTGCCGGACTCTGCGGTCTCATCCTGCAATACTGATTTACTTGCTCCTATGGGACAATGTATGTAGGCCGCACGGTCCGGCGATTGTCCGAACGAATTTGTGAACCCCACCCTGTGTGGATGAACACCGGAACGCTTAAGTCACTCAGCAGTGCAGTGGTTTCACACCTAACTGAAACAAACCACACTGTAGATGTGTTTGAGGCTTTCCGACCCCTGTATAAAATTCGTGGGTAATTATCGGGGCGTGTTCGATGTCGGATACTGGCTACAGTAGAAGCGGTGGGCATTCGTCTGCACAACCCCCCTCTGTGTGCGCATTGTGCAAGCGTTAAAGTTACCCAGGCCCACCCCCCCACCCCCGACACACACACCGTATCACGAGTAATCTCGATGATTCGGTGAGTGGATAAACAAACACATGATCGTGGTGACTCCGATTTCCGGTTTTCTGATGAAATCGTTTCTAGTAATCAGTGATTCTGTTTCATTTTATTTACCAAGATGATTTTATTCTCAAGTAGTTGTATATATATATATATATATTGAGATTTACTGGTATGAATATGAATCTCGAAAACGAGCTTGTTCGCCACTCTGCTGTTTTGTTTTAAATAAGCAGGACAATTAAATTACACCGGGGGATTTCAACTCCATCTCGGTTCACGATTTTCGTCCAAAGTATTCCCCTTATTGTGCCTGCTTTTATCCTTTCATCAAACGAAAGTGTTGCACTGACCTATATGAATAAACTGAGACTGCATACTGTAGAACCTACTGCCTATTTCATGTATCGTGGGCATATTTTGGAAATTTGAAGCGCTCACATGAATTGCACCACACAAACGCACATGATCATGGTAAGCGCTATGGCTATTTGGCCGCCTGTTCGTCGTGAATGTTGAAACAAACACGTTTTCTCCTTTAATGTTTAAAAAACGTTTCCCCTGCCGTTTTTCAGGACAGCATCGCAAATGGAAGACGTTTGTGTACGAGCAACGTAATAACATTTCAACTTCGGACAGGAAAATGGTGAATTCAAATGGTATTGAATACGTTTTGATAGGTTTTCTGAAGGATATTAGAGAATGCTAGAAAAACAAATATCAACACGTACAGACATTCGCTTTTTTTGGCGAGTGGACGTGAGTAGGAATCAAAAATACATTCTCTATGTGTGATGGAAATGGTTGTGATAAGCAACAAAGTGCAATGGACAGCTGTTTCGTTCTGTTTGGGACTCGTCAGCAGTGCGTACGTTTTGTGTCCCCATTTCAGGACTAGAACCGAGGTTATTCGGGCTGAGACTTCAAACCCGTACCCTTGGGCTGCACGGTCGATGATTATCACCTTGTGTAAATGGCTCAATCAATTTAGATGGTGAATGTTTGGATTAGCCCATTCGGTTTTTCACAGGCACCAGGCACTCTATGTAATCAAAAATTACCTCGACATAAGCAAGTAAACGAATAGTTGGGTTTGATGTCCCGACCTGAATGTTTGCGCTCCGAGAAAGAGAAGGTGCACGCAAAGTAACTGAAACGTTTCGAAGCTAAAGTCTCCAACTAAATGCCTTGCTATTTGCATTTAATTTGATTAAACTGAGAACAACGCCTGCTTTAACTGGGTGAGAAAATGCTGTTCTGATAAAAAAATACCGGTTATTGCGTAACAAAACTGGACAGCAGTCGAAGTCAGCATCAGCTGAGATTCGGATTATTCTATTGTACGCAGCCTTGGTTATGCCTTCGTTTGTTATCATTTATCGCCAGAATTTTTATATTGTCATTAAATGGGGAAAGGGTACGAGACGACTGAGTGTTTCGCAGTCACTTACGGAAAATTTTCGATCCACATGGAGCTAATATCAAACAATATGTTCCGAGGTTTCATGCGAAACACTGCAAATCGTTTATTTCACTTCATCAGCTGAAGCTAAATCCCCCAGTGAAACATGTTTATCTTCAACAACCCTGAAGCTTTTGGCACATGGAAAAATGAACAAACGGTGGATTCCGGTGTGCTCTCAGGGAAACCTGTCCTGACAGCCAGTTTGCATGCTACCTGGTGGATTCCAGATGTCTTTGTAAGCTGTTGCTGGATCATTCAGAGGTGATAAGATCAGTCTTATCGGTGTGGCCTCGTAGACCAGCTGGTACAGTGCATGCTCTATAAGAGTATACATGCGTGGGTTGGAATCCTACAGAGGTCAATAAACTTCTCCCAATTCAACATAATAATTCAATTTGTCGAACAACGTGAATCGGAGAAAATCATTTCGCTTGCTCAGACGAAACCGTATATATATAAGCTTCATAGCATCGAACTATTTAAACTTTAATTCCTGAATTCCTATCGTGTGACGTTCTATACACCACTCGTTCTGACGTGAAATTTGTCTAACAGAACTTGCTTCCATCTTTCTGGTATTTCGTAGGCCAACGGGTGTTTTTGTGAAACCATTTTTTTTATGAAGAAACCGTAATTATCCCTCCCAGTTGACTGTCGAGTCCTTAAATAGAATTGAACTGATAATGACCTTGTGAATGGGCATTAATTGCAATCAAAGTGACGGTCTTCGACGCACATTATTGCCCAGTCTCTTTTCGAATTAAATGAGTGATACTATATTTCTTAGTGATCAATTTAAATGACTGTTTCTGCATATCTATCGTTGATAAGATACCTCGATCTGACACTTGGGACTCGTTGTTTCAACTTGTGAGTTTTACATCGACCCAATTCTGAGAGCAAAATTAGAAAACAACAATCATTGAAGATGTGGCGATGAGTTAGGAAGTGAAGGTCGGAGCACAAGACAAATTCCTGACCTATTTTGAAAACAGTGAGGTAACAAATGTTTAGACAAACGTGAACGTCAACACGCTTGGAAACGTTGACATTGCCTAAATGAGCATTGAAATATGCGTTATTCTATGAAAAAAGATCCTTNCGTAGTTGGTAGCAATACCACTGCAACAGCATTCGACGTACAACCGGTAAGCTCACAACCAAAAGAAAAAACTTTTCTGAACGAAACTTTCTAAATCAATGAAAACAAAATCAGAGTTTCAAGAAAAGTCACTAATAGACGATTAACAAATTGATTTCAAGACCCTTGTTTCAAAGTGTATACGCTATTACGTGCTTCTCACGCATCGTATATTGTCAAGGCCTAATAGAAAATGTTGAGAGACAATAAACGGGAATGATTAGAACCAGCATAAACAGATATTGACCAAACTCGTGCAACATCCTGGTTTTCATCACATTTGTTCCTCTCAATGCTTCGTTTTTCCAGTCTCATTTACGGGATTGAATATAATATTGCCCCACATCAGACGCAACATATCTGATATAATATCCACTTATGTTACTGCTTCTGTTAGTCACGAGTTTGGTCAACACCTGTACGTACATTTTATTCATATCTTGAAGAGCAACGAAATCCATGTTTCAAATCTCTAATCCGTTTCGGACAACTGTGAGCATGTCCAACAACGATGCGTATCGACAAATGTTAGCTTTATCTTTATCCTCGGTGACAGCGTTCATGGAGTGTTCTCCCAAAGTATCAGTTATCATTTAATATACACTGGATCGTATCTGAAGGATGCCGAACGATCCTAGTAGCGGATGATGTTTTATTCCGAGAAGCACCTGAAGTTTACAGATGATGAGGTTGCCTTGAAGTCCGACCCGTTGTTTGTAAATCGGGAACGGTATAAAAGTTGAAATTTAGGATAACTTTCGGTGATATACACGTTTCATTCACACACAAAATAAATCGACAGAGCTTCCAAAATAACTAAGATTGGGGGTTGTAAGTGAGGTGGGACAAAAGTGAACTAGTAACGTTAATACGTGCTACTGGAAAAACCTGTTGTGGCTGTCACACCAATGATTCGCAATTAGTGTGTTTTGAAATGGACTTCTACTTACTAGTCACATTCATGTTCTCATTCAAACTGTCGGATACGACACAATGACTATTCAGTTTTAATTTCAAATT